GGATCCCTGTGAGTTCAAGGCCAGCCTGGGCTATAGAGTGATTTCCAGGACAGGCATAAAGCTACACAGAGAAACCGTCTCAAAAAATAAAAAAAACAAAAAAACAAAACAAACAAACAAAAAAAACCCCAAAAAACAAAACAAAAATGGTCCACCTTATGTAAATTCATATAATCCTAGTTAACATACCTACTACCCCTCATGGCTACTCTGTGTGTGTGTGTGTGTGTGTGTGTGTGTGTGTGTACACCTCAAAACACTCAAGTTCTGTTCCCTTAGAAAAATCTCAGGGTCCAACATTCTATTATCAACTATAGTTACCATCTGAGACATTACATCTCTAGGAAGTATCCACCTTATAACTGAAAGCTTTGCCTTTAGTTAAACATCTCTCCATCTCCCACTCAAGGCAAAGAATTTTTTTCAAAGATTTATTTATTATGCACAGAATGTCATGTCTGCAGGCCAGAAGAGGGCACCAGATCTCATTACAGATGGTTGTAAGCCACCATGTGGTTGCTAGAAATTGAACTCAGGACCTCTGGAAGAGCAGTCAGTGCTCTTAACCTCTGAGCCATCTCTCCAGCCCAGGCAAAGAATTTTAAATGAGTAAGAAAGCTGAGTGTGTCGGCACAGTGGTCGGTGTCTGTGACCCCAGCATTGAGAAAATGGGGACAGTTCAGCCAGGCTGGCTGAATCAGTGAGCTCCAGGATCAGCCAGAGGCACTTGTTTGCAAAATAAGCAAGTCAGGAGGCTGGCAAGATGGTTCAGCAGACAAAAGGTACTTGCTATGGAGCCTGATGGCCTGAGCTTGATCCCCAGAAGCCACATGGTGGGAGGAGAGAACGGTCTGCTCACAAGCATACATACACACGAATAGTATGTTACAAATCTCAAGAATTTAAGAAATGTAGTAGGGAAAACATGATGTTTTTCATTACTAATTCACACATTCCTAAATTCAACTGGGCGGTGGTGGCGCACGCCTTTAATCCTAGCACTCAGAAGGCAGAGGCAAGCAGGTCTCTACAAGTTTGATGCCAGTCTGGTCTACAGAGCAAGTTCCAGAACAGCCAGGGATCCATAGAGAAACCCTGTATCAAAAAAACAAAAACAAAACAAAACAAACAAAAAACAAAGCCCCTCCCCGCAAAAGCAGTAAACACCTGTTCCTAAGATCACATGGGCATAGTGCAGTTGGTGACGGTTTAGAAAACCGTCATGGACTGGGAAGATGGCTCAGGAGTTAAGAGCAATGGCTGTTCTTGCAAAGGAACTGGGTTCAATTCCTAGGACCCACATGGCAGTTCACAACTGTCCATAACTCGAATTCCAAGGGATCAAACACCCTCTTCTGGCTTCTGCAGGCACCAGGCAGGCATGTGGTACACATACACACGGAGGCAATCATTCATATATGTAAAAAGAAATATTAAGAAAAAAGAAAATTAGCTGATTTTAGACTTTTGGCTAAACATGACACAATTTCTTCATCCTTCCGAAACTGTCAGAAACTTAAAGAAAAAAAAAAAAAGGATAAAACAGGCCATGTGTGGTGGTACATATGCCTTTAATCCCAACACCTGAGAAGCAGAGGCAGGTGGATTTGAGTTCGAGGCCAGCCTCGATTACACAGGGAGACCTGACTAAAAGAAAAAAAAAAAGTTTTTTATATTTCTGAATGCTAGACAGTAGCTGGAAGAATGGTAATTGATCTAGGGAAGAGGAGAAAACAGGAAAATCGAATTAGTTTCTCCTCACATGGGCTCAGAAATAGAGAACCTGAAAAGACTGAGGCTGAGGAACTGTACTGGCTAATTTTATGCCAATCTGACAGTGGCTAGAGTCATCTCAGAGTAGGAAACTCCAATTGGGAAAACACCTCCACAAGATCGGGCTATAGGCAAGCCTGTAGAGCATTTTCTTCATTAGTGATTCACGTGGGGAGGCCCAGGCCATTGTGAATGGTACTACCCCTGGGTGCTATACGAAAGCAGGCTAAGCAAGCCACGGGGAGCAAGCCAGTAATCAGCTCTCCTCCATGGTCTCTGCATCAGCTCCTGCCTCCGGGTTCCCACCCTGTTTGAGTTCCTGTCTTGACTTCCTTCAGCGATGGACTGTGAATATGGAAGCGCAAACCAAATAAACCCTTTCTTCTCCAACTTGCCTTTGGTCATGGTGTTTCGCCACATCAACTGGAACCCTAACGAAGAGGAACGCAGGGACAGGTGGCAGAGCTCAGTTGGCAGAAGGTCCGCCTAACACGCAAGCCCTGGGTGCAATCCCTAGCATACATCCATGAGACCCGATGGCACATGCCTCTAATCCCAGCACTTAAGAGGTAGAGGCACGTGAATCTGAAGTTGAAAGCCATCCTCTGCTATACTCTGAGTTTGAGGCCAGCCCAGGATATATGGGGGGAAATATACTAAAAAGAGGGGGACATGGTTAAGACAGCTCTGTGGGTAAAGATGCTTGCTGCCAAACCTGACGACATGAATTCCATTCCTGGTACCTACATGTTGAGAGTCGGGAACCAACTCTCAAAAGTTGTCCTCTACTGCCACACACAAGCACCTCACACATAAAACAACAAATATAGAAGCAAATTTATGATAGAAGAGCCTGGATAAAAGATACAGATATGCAGGCTCTGGAGTCTCGCACTAAAACAGTATTGATGAACCCAGAATTTGACCGAGATTCACGATGGTCAAAATGAAGAGACACAAGACTGTTTACATATTTTTCCTTATCCAGGCAGAGGAAACAAGAATTTCCCGGAATAGGAAAAAAAAATCTCCATACTCTCCTCTAAAGCAAATGTCTCACAGTGTTTGATGTGCTGGGATGAGTACTATTAGCCAGTACGTACCCAAAATAACACCCCTGACCCGGCACTTCCCAGCGTATCCAGGCTCCGGTTCTGTAAGAACTAGATCTTCTACAGCTCCCTCCTGAACAGTGAGCAGGGGCGTATTCAGGATTTCCTTCTGTCAAGGGAGAAGGCCAGTTGAAATAGCAGCTGGAGAAGCCCAGTCCTTCCTGTCGCCGCCTTTGCTCACCTGCATGTTCTGTTTATAAAGTTTCCGATCAATTTGCGCTCTCAGCCCCCACACAGCGGGACCCTTACGCCGGTTTAATACTTTGTAATGTATACCAGACTGGTCACAGATCCGAGAACACAAGCCATCCAAGGCATCTACTTCCCTCATCAAATGCCCCTTTCCGATGCCACCAAAGGAAGGATTACAGGACATCTGACCTAAAGAGAATGGACACGATCATGGTGATTAAATGAGTACCTTGTACATATTATTTAATAAAGAGCTGTTCCTACAGGTAATTAGCCCTCATTTACGAAAAAAACTTTCTCCTCTAACTTCAAAGAGAGGAGGAATTAGCAGAGCATGAGTGAATCATTCCTGCCTTCTGCATCCCTAGGGACTCAACCTTCTAAGGCAAAGTCATCTTTCTTCCTTGAAGCCAAGGAACTCTTGGTATTGCACCAAATTTCCATAAAACAATCATTTTGGCCAGGTACACCTTAAATCTCAGCCCTCTGGAGGCAGAGACACATGTATCACTGTGAGTTCGAAGCCAGACTGGTCTACACAGCAAGTTCTGCCAGACCAGCCAGGTCCTGGGACCCCGTGACAACGAACAAACAACAACCCCTCTTTCATCTCATTTCAAATTAAGATGGTTTTCATTAAACACATTTATGAGAATTACTAACAGCCTCTGAAATGTTTTTAAACACATCCTACTGCGTTGACAGAATAAAGGTTTTGCATGACTATGTATATATCCAAGAGAAATTAAATCTTTGGCTAAAGTGACAAGTGTACTCCTATGTCTAATGAAACACTATTTGCAAGAGCCAAGAAACGCGATCCATCTAGTGTTCATCCAGTGATGAATAGATAAAGTGGCGCGTACGCTACCGCGCGTGTCAACAAACCTTGGACACAAAACTCTCAATGGAAATACAGAACGGAACGAGGAGCGCCGTTCCTCGCCGTTCAACGAGGGCTTGACACGCTCTCGGTGAACGCACCATGTCGCTTAATCAAACGGGCGTGAGAACGTTAATTCACCCTTTCTTTGAGGTGAGAATCCCGGGAAGGTTAACCCAGCGACCCGGCGTGCCTGGCAGTCTTCCGCTCCCTCACCCCCCGGTCACCCACCACTCTCGTCCACCGCAACCCCGCACTGCGTCACAGGCCGGCCGAGGCCGCGGGGGCTCCTCACCGATCGTGTCCACGCGGTGTGTGAGGAGCAGAGTCCGCGAGCCACAGCGCGCGGCGGCGGCGGCCGCCTCGGTCCCCGCGTGCCCGCCTCCGATCACCACCACATCGAAGCGCGCGCGGCACGGGGCCGCGCTGTCGCTGCGGAGGCGAGGCGAAGGCAAGCGTCTGCCGAGGGATGCCGCGGCCCAGCGGCCGCCGTCCCGGAGAAGCAACATGCCGAGGGAGGACAGACGACCCGCAGCCACTAAGCCCCGGGGAAGCCGTCTGGGCGCCGCCATCTTGCCCTGCGTCAGAGCGCAGCACGCCTGCGTCCAGCGTCGCCTCTGATTGGCGGCTTGGAGCTCCCGCGGCTAAGGCCGCCGGGGGGCGCGCGCAGGCCGGATGTGCGTTCCCTCGCTGCCGGGTACCCCATGGCGCTTGGCTGGGCGGTTCTGCCCGGGAGGTTGAGGTTAGTTCTTTCAGGTGGACCAGTCTCTATAGCCAGGTTACCACCTACGAACAGTTAAGTTTGATCAGGTTGCCTTATCAGATTCTTTGGATTTGAGGGCGCTGTCAAAACCACAGTCTGAAATTCGGGTCGCCCCGACAGATTACATTTGTGGCGGGAGAGCAAGGAGCAGGCGAAAGTTGGAGGTTCAGTGTCCAGCCTTTTGGAATTGACAGCCTTAAAGCCTTCTTCTGAGAGGTTGTTTTGACTAACGCAACCCGTGTTCTGATGAGTAAAA